TGTGGTGTGGTGTGGTGTGGTGTGGTGTGGTGTGGTGTGGTGTGGTGTGGTGTGGTGTGGTGTGGTGTGGTGTGGTAAGCCTAAGTAAGTGTAAGTAAGTCTGTGGTATTATAAGAATTAAGAATTAATTTTTTTCACAGCAAACAATTGAAACAATTCATAATCAATTTTTTGCGATCAGATTTTTGAATTCAACAAATTCTAGCTAATTTCAAGATAGACTCACCTTTTTATCTCTTGGATTTGTTCTTGCTCCATACAATTGTTAGGACAGGGGATAAGTGTTTCGGGACATTCATTAGCTGAGTGATCTTCGAGCTGATGTCGGAACAATTGCTTTCTACATTTATTGCATTTCATCACTTTGTGTTTGCATTTCGTGTCATGGTCGTACATGTCTTTTCTTTGTATTGTTTCCTTGCAGTTTTCATTAGGACATTGTACATGTTGGAAAAGACAATCTTCTCTGTGTTTTGCCAGCGACTGTAGCTCTCCTTTCCATTCACATTTCTGTACAAGACTTTCTGAAAGTTTTCGCACGCCCAAACTCGCTCTAACCTGTTTGCTCATCTTTTCTTGTGTTTTGCAAAAAAAAAAAAAAACGTGAGCATGCAGGAAAAAAAAAAAAAACGATAGCAAAATGTGAATCTGAAAATAGCATTAAACGGTGATGATTAAAAGCATGCCAATAGAGGTTTTGCACCACCACGTGAAGGCAGCCATGTTAGATGGCAGGAAATTAAAACCGCCTTTTTACATAAGAAACAATTCAATTCCCGAAATCAAAGGGATTTTATTAGCATGTTCTGGCATCTTACCACAGGCAGCCCAAGCTGTATTATTGGCATGGGCACGCGATGGTATGAAACTTCTGTACCAGAGACTCCTTCTCTTATTTCATTTTCTCTTGTTTGAATCGAAAAGCTGAGTTACGGTAACAATTTTTATGATCACAATGGCAAGATATGCTTCACTGCTAATGATAATTGAATATTCCCCGAATGCATTACCCTCAAGAGAATATTAAGTACTTCATATTCTCTTGATTACCCTATACTGTAATAGATTAGTTGTAACTGCATTAAGGTTAGAGAGACTTGCACAATGGTACTAGACAGTGTTTCCCTATATATTTTAACTCCAATGTCACTACTAACAAGAAACGATGAGGCAACGTCACGAATGACGTCATGTAACTCACCTACTGCTCCTCCTGCTGGCGGATCGCACCAGACTTCTAAGTTTTGTATCAGATTATAAACGATCAAGTTACGTACAAGATCTTTTGCTTGCACTCTTTTGCCATCCAACGGGCACCTCTCTTTTTTTAATAATAGCTCTTTTGTAATACAATGTTTACAGAAGGAATGTCCATCTTTGCATCCATAAGGGTCATTGAATACTCCATGACTACAAAGGGGAAAAAGGAGCGTCAGGAATCATTTAAACGTATCTTGACTTCCTGGAATAATGACTGACTTCCTAAAATAAATAGCAATATTTGCCGAGTATCCGGAAATAAGTGCTTAGAGCAAGAACACTAGTGCAGTTTTCGTATGACTGTGAAAAATTCACGGCGCGAACACGGCAAGGAATACACCAGACCACATAGCACGAGAATTTACTCTCCATCCAATCAAATAGACTACCCGGAACACGGAAATATAGAAATATAGATAAGTTTTAGTGCTTGGGAACGAGGTTATTCCGGGCCAAAAGAACTGGCCGAATTAAATTCGAAAAAATTACTTGCCGAACTCACTGGGATTCGAAACCACGACCTTCGGAATCGTACTACCGATGCTCTACCAGCTGAGTTAGAGGTCAGACTGAGAGCAGGGCGGGGTGAAATTGATGTTAGGTCGCGGTAATTATGATGCAAAGATGAGAATATGTCAGCGAGGTCGGAAATTAATTTTCCGAATTTAATTCCAAAGGTCTATCGCCCGGATTAACCACGTTCCCAGGCACTGTAACTTATCTATATTTCTATATCTTCATGTATTTCATAAGTGCTTCGCGGTCCACATCATATTCTTATCTTTACCCGGAACACGCATAAACACTGCGCGAACACGGTCACGCCAAAGACAGGGCAATGCCAGACCAATCACATTGCGAGTGAAAAAATCTGCCAATTACATTTTTAGAAAGCATCGCGGTCACGGCACGTCACGCTTACGGCACTGAGCTTTTCACAGTCATACGAAAACTGCTCTAATAATTCCTGAATCCTGAACCATTGCTTCTTTTCGGGTCACCGACGTTCTTAGCGAGAATGACGCATATCAAAATTTATATTGAAATATTTTAACAACAATAAAATGCATAAAATTTTCGGAGAAACCCAATAACTTTTTGAGTTCCAAGACATACAATTTCGAATTGATTTTCGATAGGAAAATGCCTCGAGTGGTTAACGTTCGGAAAATGCATACTTTTATCTAATGAAGGAAGATAGCTGTGGACTGATTTTAAATATACATCAATATTCATTCCCCAGACAAAAGATCTATCGATTTGCATATGATATTTCTCAGAATCGATACTCTACTTTTATACCGAACTTGCTAAAAAATATGTTAATAAGAACGCTGATCCCGATTTGTACATCTTATTTAGTTTTCAAAGCTTGCCGGAAATTATAAAAATATAAGTTTTTAAAATGCGTAATATGTAAAAGAACCCAGTGGCACTTTATAAGTTGTCCAGGTACAGTGTAATAAAGTGTTTTATTTACATTTTTTCTTTTCTGATTTTTAGTTTTTCACAATCAGTCTCCGCGACGAATGTTTTACAGCTTAAAGCCTTATCCTACATAATCTATAAGTGCATGGTCTTACGTAAAGGGAAGCTTAACATATTTTACTTACCATATTGCACAGATTAGGTTTTTATCGACGCTCCTTACGAACAGTTTTGTTTCAAAACCCATCATAAACGTCTAGGATGTCAGCTTCTGCTACTTCAATGTACTTTCAATGTTTGCAAAGTGGTAGTTGATGCAAGAGACACGAAGCGTCAACCGTTTACGCATGCGTGCATCTCATTATATGCATTTTTTCCAAAAACTTTAACTTCTAGGAAACTCTTTCAAGTGATCTGATTGGATGAGAACTGGATGAATGCTATATTTCATGTGGGAAGTTGGGGCTAAATTATATATTATTAGCCTTAGATATGAAATATTTCCAGGAAAGAAATATGGAAATACTGACTAAATATGAATAAAGATGCAGTTTAATATTGAATTTTTCACTACAAAATATTTCCACAAGGTCTAGACACACAACGTGAAAGAAAATTCAAACTTTCTATCAATTTTGCATCTTGAAATTTAAGATATCTATTGACCTATAACATTATGACATCACACTTGTTTACATGGGCAAGAATGATAGGAATTTAAGTGATTTTTCTTTCGTTCAGGATATTTAGTACAACATTTATCTGTGATCACCTTTCTCCGTCTAATTAACCATTTTTATTGTGGTTTCATTCGTTTTGCTGCTATTTTACCCCCTCTGGTGACCATGATCCTTATCCTCTCTACTTCATTGTATACACACCGAACTCATAATTTATTACTACTTTACTATGTCTATTATCTGCGTACATACTTACGGTGTTCAACTTATCCATAGAGAAAAAATATCGCTCTGGGATCCTCACGATTACCCTACATTTCATATTCTGGCTGCGTTACCAGCGTGGTTGGTCCTTGTAGTGTAGTGGTTAACACATCGGACTAGAATGCCGAAGACTTGGGTTCGAATCCTGCCAAGGGCATTGATATTTTTCTCTTATTCTCTCTACTTCATTGTATAAGCGCCGAACGCATAAATTATTACTACATGATCCTTAGAGCTAAAACAACAGATTTTTTTGATGTGACGTCATAGTGATATAGGGCAATTGGATATACTAAGAGAAGCCCCGCAATTTAAGCTTAGACCTTATTATAAGATTATAAACTATTAGCTATCAAACAGCTAAAATAAAAGCTTCTGAGCAATATCTTTAGTGACATTATAAAGAGCAGAACACACCATTCAAAAAGCATTACTATATATTCAGCTTTACAACTTTAAATTAAAGCCATTTTTACACTTACGTGTACTTAGTTCACAAATATATAAAAGTTGCAACTGTTAGACTATTCTAATGCATTCTTTAAAAACGTTTACATTTTCTAATGTGAATATTTACAATTAACGTTAGTTAATTTGAGTAATAATTCAAAAATTGCAAAAAAGGCAGTGAATATTAAGACCAATCTCGTACCCAGAACCTGCGTTTCTTCTAACCTGCGGTGAAGAACGAGGGCTCTGGCATAATCCATTTTTTGGAGCATGCGCAGTTTTTCGGAAATGAAATATAATCATTGCAAACCATGCTTTGAAATTGAGTTCTGTGTTAACTTTCGATCAAAAAGAAGAAAAAATTGGAAATCGGGAACATATGTTTTATATTCTTTTGCAAGTCTTTTAACTCAATCGCTCTTATACCTTATCCTGGTCTTAAATATTGGATTATGCCAAAGCCCTCGTTCTTCGCCGCAAGCCAGAAGCCACCTGAAATCTAAGAAATCCTGTTGTCCAAAAATGGATAATGTCAGAGCGCTCGTTCTTCGCCGCAGGCCAGTAGAAACGCAGGCTCTGTGTAGGAAATCGAGCGAAGACTAGCTGAGCATGCGCTCTGGTGACCTGGTTGCAAGATTCTAGTTTCTCATTGGCTAATGAATAGATTTTATAAATACAAAGAATACAAAAACTGCTGTATTGTACATTGGATGGTTAGACTACCATTGGTACTGTTACAGTAGGCTGTAGAAAGTACATCATCTGTGTAACATGGAACCTATTGTGGT